GGGAGCTCATAACCAGGAAGGCCTAGTGAGGCCTGTAACCTGGCAACCACATCCGGTGGGAGCTCGTACTCAGGAAGGTCAGTGAGACCCAGCCTGGTGTACCTGAAAAACCACACCAAGTGGGAGCTACTTCCAGAAGTTAGCTCTTAAGAACTCTTAAAGTGGGACCCGAGGAAAGACCGGGGTCTGAGCCACATAAGAAGGGACCAAAGCATACTGCGCGTGACCCTCACCATAAGAAATGGATTTTAAAAAGTGCACAAGACATCTCGTCGGGTGACTTACCACAATAATAGGTGAAGTATGGGTTTGTGTACTTCACTCTGAATTCAGGAAGGCCTGGTGAGGCCTGTAACCCAGCAACCACAATATGTGGGAGCTCATAACCAGGAAGGCCTGTTGAGGCCTGTAACCTGGCGACCACAGTGTGTGGGAGCTCATGACCAGGAAGGCCTTGTAAGGCCTGTAACCTGGCGACCACATTGGGTGGGAGCTCGTACTCAGGAAGGTCAGTGAGACCCAGCCTGGTGACCACAACCTGTGGGAGCTTACTCCACCAAGTGGAAGCTACTTCTTCCAGAAGTTAGCCAGAGAAGGGCGTCCCTGTAGCCAGTGACAGGACGCCACTTAAAGTGGGACCCAAGGGAAGACTGGGGTCTGAGCCACATAAGAAGGGACCGAAGCATACCACGCGTGACCCTTACCATACAAAATGGATTTTAGAAAGTACACAAGACATCCCGTCATGTGATTTACCACAATAATAGGTGAAGTAGGGGTTAGTGTACTTCACTCTGAATTCAGGAAGGCCGAACTTGAGGCCTGTTACCTGGCAGCCACAACAAGTGGGAACCCATAATCAGGAAGGCCTGACAAGGCCTAACACCCGATAGTCCCAATGCATGGGGAGCTCACATTCAGGAAGGCCGCTGAGGCCTGCAGCCTGACATGTGAAGACTCACCACTACAACTTAGCGACCACGAAAAGTGGGGGTTTCACATTCAGGAAGGCCTGGTGAAGCCTGCAACCTGACATGCGACAACTCACAACCAGGAAGGCCAATGAAGCCTGAAGCCTGGTGACCACAGAGTGGGAGCAAAGTGCTCAGGGAAGGTGGTGAGGCTGTAGTCTGGCTACCGCAGCATGTGGGAGCCCACATTCAGGAAGGCTGGGTGAGGCCTGTAAACTGACTACCACAGTATGTGGGAACTCATAACCAGGAAGGCCCCTTTGAGGCCTGTAACCTAGCAACCACAATGTGTGGGAGCTCATCACCAGGAAGGCCTGGTGAGGCCTATAACCTGACCACCACAGTATGTGGGAACTCATAACCAGGAAGGCCCCTTTGAGGCCTGTAACCTAGCGACCACAATGTGTGGGAGCTCATAACCAGGAAGGCCTGGTGAGGCCTGTAACCTGGCGACCACAGTATGTGGGAGCTCATAACCAAGAAGGCCTGGTGAGGCCTGTAACCTGGCGACCACAATGTGTGGGAGCTCATAACCAGGAAGGCCTGGTGAGGCCTTTAACCTGGCGACCACAGTATGTGAGAGCTCGTATCCTGGTGACCACAGTATGTGGGAGCTCATAACCAGGAAGGCCTGGTGAAGCCTGTAACCCAGCGACCACAGCATGTGGGAGCTCATAACCAGGAAGGCCTGGTGAGGCCTGTAACCTGGCGACCACAATAAGTGGGAGCTCATAACCAGGAAGGCCTGGTGAGGCCTGTAACCCGGCAACCACAGTATGTGGGAACTATAACCAGGAAGGCCCCTTTGAGGCCTGTAACGTAGCGACCACAGTATGTGGGAGCTCATAACTTGGAAGGCCTGGTGAGGCCTGTAACCTGGCGACCACAGTATGTGGGAGCTCATAACTAGGAAGGCCTGGTGAGGCCTGTAACCTAGCAACCACAATGTGTGGGAGCTCATAACCAGGAAGGCCTGGTGAGGCCTTTAACCTGGCGACCACAGTATGTGGGAGCTCATAACCAGGAAGGCCTGGTGAAGCCTGTAACCCAGCGACCACAGCATGTGGGAGCTCATAACCAGGAAGGTCTGGTGAGGCCTGTAACCCGGTGACCACAATCAGTGGGAGCTCATAACCAGGAAGGCCTGGTGAAGCCTGTAACCCAGCGACCACAGCATGTGGGAGCTCATAACCAGGAAGGTCTGGTGAGGCCTGTAACCTGGCAACCACAGTATGTGGGAGCTCCCACAGATGTCTCTCCGTGGCCACCATAGCACCGACAGAACAGCAGATTGCTTGGTGGCCCGGAGTCCCGCAGCAGATCGGTCTGGTAGGCCTGAGGACCACAAGGGCGTGCAGAACCGCACCTGCCTGACCTGCTGCCGTGTACGCTCTGTCATTCAAGCATGAAGATGTCTTGAGCAGCTTGGATGACAGGGTCAGAGCTCTTAGTGAAGAGGACCAACCAGAGACGAGATAGTTAGTCAACGTCTCGTCCACTGGTGGCCTCGACACTTATCCGTTCTCCACGGCTCCCTCCACAGCAGCGAAACTAGCCCGCTGATGCAGATAGAGACGTGAGGAGAACGGATTCTTCCATACCCTCTCGATCCCAGCGTGGAGATCGGAAAGGAATGGAAGGCTCATCCTGGCTGGTGGCTTATGGGTGGGGAGGAACCAGCCATCCAAAATACCATGAGCGGGTTCCTCCCAGACGCGCCTCCACTGCAACAGTAATCTGTCTGAGGCGCGCCCCATAATGTCAACCAGCTCAGCGTACACTGGGCAGGAGGGCTGAAATGGTTCGGTCTCAACCAAACTGTCATCCTTTTCTATATATATATATATATATATATATATATATATATATTACAGCCAACTCCTGCCCTGCCCAAAGAGAACAGTTACCGATTCATCAAAGAGAGAGAGCACTCATTTTCTCTCTTCTTAGATGTTCAACATTAATCTGTAACTCACCCTCGTCAGCTGGTAGATCATCCGCGAGGTTAACGCCCCTCTCCCGATAATCTGCCAGCTCCATCTGAAAGCTCCACGAGCTCAACCGCCACTGAGCCTCAGCCCGAGCGGGAACCGGAACCGCGGGGTTCAGATGCCGCGCCCACTTCCCTCGAGAAGTGGGTCAGACGAGAGCAGAGAGTTCTGAAAGGAAAACTCTCAGTTCGCGCAAAAAACTCCCTCGAGAGCTTCCCGCACATGCTCTTCTTTCAGGCAGAACACGCACAGATCGTGTGAATCCTCCGGTGTCAAATATCTGGACACAAGTCGGCACACTCGCGCAAAGTGTTTCTCCACGTCTCTGCGCGCTTAATCGTTGATACTATCACACAGACAAACAGTCCCTGAAGACGAAAAGATGTTGTCACGGTTTCAAGGCGCCCTTCTTATACATCCAGATTGACACGCTCATCATTCAAGCTGATGATGCACGGGCTGTCGCCGGTCAACCTGATTACTGTGAGTTGATATTTGATTTCAGACACCTGTCACGCCTGAGGCGTTCCCCCATTGCGTCATTCGATGTATTGTTGAGTTCCCTTCGAAAGGGAACTCTGTCTGGATGCAGTCTGACTGTAAATGCATGGTAATGGTCATCAAAACATACAGTTTCCATCAGTGTTCCACACAACAACACATTTTCGTCTTTCACAGCAATAGTCTTGATCTTACAAAACACTGGCATCTCACATGCTACTTCTGTACAGATAATAAAGTCAGGGCGATACTTAGTGCCGTGGTGTTTGATCCACTTTACAGAATAGACAGCTTCTGACATTCTCTTGGCCAAATTTAAGTTCAGAGAGGTCTACCATTTTTCCTGGGCCAAGAGACAATCTGTACTGGCTAAAAGACTCCCAGTACGTCTCAATACAAAATTGGTGCTTTTTGGCTAGTGTTTTAGTAATGTTTTTGAAACTTTTTAATTGTGTTTTAAAAAATTTGTGTTTAGCTTCTTAACGCATACACCACGTGTGAAGAATTAGTCCAATTTTCCTTATACACTGTGGGTAATTTATCATTATATGATGCTTTGGCAAAAAATTTATTTTCAGGAAATAATTTTTTGAATAGCTGGTGATGTTCAACTATTAAAAATTTAAGATAAATGGTCATGCCTTCTGTTAGGACTGGTGAAAATACAATGTTGACAATTTGCAAAAGTAAAAGCAAAAGATGCCAGTGTTTATCATCTCTTTGGACTAAATCACCAAATAATAGGGGCATATTGCGCAACAAGCACCAAGATTGGATTGCATTTAAACCCAAATCATTGCTTCCATCAAACAATTTGACCACTGGAGGACGGTTCTTCTGCTGATTGTAACCATAGTCAAAAGCATATACTCTACCAGCAATATCATCGGGACTCAGTATCCTGTGCATGAAAGAGGGCACATAAATGAATATTCACCAATGAGGAATTAAAAACGGGGGGGAAATTTCTTAATGTAAAATAGATAGCACCCAATTTGTGTATGCCCCTTTTGGATCCCAAAGGATTAGCGGTCTCAAAATCATCATAAAATAACTGAATTTGTAAGGCATCCTTTTCTGTAGAAAATAAAGGATTACTTTTAAAATATGCTGCATCACTCAAGTCAACATAAATGCCTTCTTTTGGAACATGTCTGGGTTTAAACAAATCATTAAGTTGCGGATTTTGTAAAATTGCCTTTAGTGTTTCTAAAATGGGAATATAAGCAAATTTATCAGTTACAACAACCTGATCAAATGTTCCTGTAGTTTTATTCCTCCTGCTGTCAAATCTTGTGCCAAGCACAATTTCGCTTGGTTCAATAATTCCCCACTTTTCCATAAAGAGTCTCTTTCGCTTGGCTTCAGAATTTAACAAAGTAAATGGATTTTCCAAATTTTGAAATGAGTGTTCTAGCTTTCTTTTAGTAGCGGTGTCCTGTGAAGGCAGGCAGAGCAAGGCTGCATCCTGGGCCTGACTATGAATCTCAGAAACCATTTCCTCCATAGATGAAACAAAACCATTGATAGCAGATTGACTTAATCCAGCAACTTTTAGTTGTGCAACAGCAGATGCACACATATTGAAAGTGCTCTTATTTGATGTTAACAATACAGATGTTGCGGCCACCTCTCCAGCACTGCCAATCTGATCAAATACTTCAGAACTACTTTGTCCATCTGCCTTGGTAGTCTCATGGCTATCAGTAGTGTCAAAATTTTGCTCACCGTCGCTTTGCTCAGCATGTTTTGTGTGCAGATGTTTCCTAAAACCTGAAAAAGTACCGAACACAGAACCACAACCTGCTTCTATGCATTTAAGGCTTAGATTCTTCCCAGGAACAAAACCATGAACTAATCTGAGGTGCCTAAGAAGCTCTTTTGAACCATTTGAATCAGCTTGACAAACAAAACACTTCATGTGGGCAGAAAAACTTAAGTGACCTAGCTAAGCAGCCTTGCTCTGACTTCAGCAACACGAGGACTCTCTTTCACTTTGCCAACATCTATGTTGTACACAGTGGTCTGAATGAAAGTGTACATGTTGTGTAGCATAGTGTTGTAGGAGGTACCAAAAACAAAGTGTGACTTAAACAGTTCGTCAAAGGCACCAAGAGAAGAGGTTGACTTGCATGGAATGGCATGCTGATCGAGGATGATGTAGAACTGGTGAACTGATTTCTTCTGAGGTCCCACAGCCAGGAGATAGGGCTGAGCACTAGCAGTGATGTTTCGAAGATGCTCATCAATGTTTGTTCCACTCTGAGAAGACCAAGCAAATTGAAGAGAACCATCACTGATGTGTTAAATAAAAGAAACTATGAAGAAAAAGAAAAAAAAAGCACACACACCTTCTTGAAGACAACAAGATGTTTCTCTGCTTGAGAAGCAGACACCTTTCCTGGTCTCTTTCGGCCTTGGGCAGAAGGTGGGATCAGATGCAACAGCAGTATTATAGAAGAGAGGTCAGAGTCCCAAACTGTTCAGACAGAATTAATTATGTTAGCAAAATCTCATCAATAAAGAAAATTGATAATGAAGAATAAATATTAAAAACATTTATAGGACCTAAATAAAATATACTGTTATTTTATTTTTTTAAATTATTTTAAACATCTTACCAAAATTAACACAATCTTCTGAGTCATCAGACGGAGATTCAGCTGCTAGCAGGAGTTCTCCAACATCACTGGTGGTTGGAAGCTTTTTGCACTGCTGAATCACTTTTTTCTTGAATGCAGTAGTCCACTTCTCCAGTAGCTTGCCTGACGCTCCTTCTCCAAACATCAGAACAAAGTCTTGCTCAATCTAAGGAAGGGAATCACTATTAGATATAAACCCTGAACAAACGTATTTTTTAGAAAACAGCTAAGCATTTTTTAAAATCCTTAAATCTTGGATTATAAAGACTTTACTTACCAAGCCTTTAACGTCTTTAAAACTTGGAAAGACTGTCAATACAGTAGGTAGACAACCAGAATGTGGTTTTTACCGCCGCCGGTTTGCCGCGGCGGTAAAAGTTGAGGTGTATTTGCTGCCTTTGGCCGCTAAGAGGCGCAACAATCACAGACTTTGAAAAGTGTCCGTTTTTTGTGTAATCTTCAACTGCGCCGCGGCTCTTTCAGAGCGATTGAAAGATGGTAACAGATTAATTCAAGTGAAACGTAGTTAAATTAATTAATTAATCACAATACTGAAATTAAATTGAAAAAATAATGAAACCTTAAAACATTGCAGTCAAAACATATTAGGCTACATCAATGAGGCTTTACAATTGTATAAGACGACAGCGCATTAGAGGTCCAGCGATAGCTGTGTGGTTAACGCATCATCCTCAACCTCATATACCTCCAAACGACGCAAGATCGAACCTCGTTACATGCTCTTGGCCGACAGCTTTTATGTTTATCCTACCGTTCTTGAAGTTTAAATAGGTAGCTTTTGCAATCCGTTCCCTTAATTTATAAACTGTAGGCTACTCACGGATTCTTAAACTGTTCCCTCGGTTTAACAATTCGTGCCCACGGATTAATAAACCGTAGCCACGAGTTCCTAATCCCTGCTCTCAGATTTGTAAACCGTGCCCTCAGTTTTTGAAATATGTACCCACAAATTCATAAACCGTGCCCACGCTTTCGCAATCCGTAGGTTACTTACGGGTGTGTAATCCGGACTCGCGGATCTGTGGCTCGTCCCCGAGAATGTGCCGCATGATTCCACCAGGCCTCCTGTTTAGATGCGGGATGCATTGTTTTTAAAAGGACTTCACTTACAAAAAAATAAATAAATAAATATAGCCTAAGACAAACACAAAGTTATAGGTCTATAAAAATAAAACATTCACAAATTGTTTAACATATTCCTGTCTTAAGTGAACTCATTTAAAGTTATAAACGCAAATAATAGGCCTAATAATAATATGCTATTATTATTACATTTAGGCTACATATTTAGATATAAGACGCTTTTATATAAAAAAAAGAAACAAAGCAATTCGTCAAATGTCAGTCATAATAGGCCTACTGGTTAGACAATAATAAAACAGGGCTGAGATTATCACAAATAGGCCTAAACACAAGATTTTGACGAATAGGCTGACTTTTTGCCTTTATTAAACATTTAAAATATTCTCAAATTAATATGAAAAAAAGAATAGATTTTGCTTTCTAAAAACTATATTTTGCCCGCAGTGCTAAATGAGAAGAGCATGTGAGAGATGATTTATAGGCTAGGTGATTTATAGGCTTGTGTCTGAAAAATAACGATCGACGTTTTCTTGTTATTGTGAGTTTACACAAATAAAAGTAGTTGCAAATAATGTATTATGTATTATGTATTTTTTTTCCGTATGACCAGAAATGCTAGATTATTTTAAATTGTTCCACTGTTGATAGGAACATGCAAGTGTTTGCGGCCGCGGCAGTGACATGCACACAAACAGTTGGATATAGGCTACGTTAAAACCTGTGTTTGTTTGTTAGAATCGTAGCCTATTATTATTGTCTAAGACTGACATTTGACAAATTGCTTTGTTCTTTTTTGTGGATAAAAGCGTCTTCTAAATAGGCCTGTAGCCTAAATGCATTTTTATTTGCATTACTACTATGAATGAGTTCACCGACGACAGTAATATATTTAACAAAATAATTTATAACTTATAACCAAACCTTTTACAGTTTTTGAACTGTGTTATTATTATTATTTTCGCTTATTATAGTACTGAGCTTTTTCCTCTAAAAATTTACTTTAAAGATAAAAGTATCCTAAATGTATTTATTTTTTTAAATGCAAGAAATCATCCATTTTAAAAAAGGATTTTAAAAACAATGCAATGCATCCCGCATCTAAACAGGAGGCCTAGTTGAATCATGCGGCACACTCTGGGGGACGAGCCACAAACCCGTGAGTCCGGATTACAAACCCATATTTCAATATGGGTTTGTCTCCGGATCACAATACACAAAATTCATCAAACTACAACATAAACAGTAATATTAACACATTTATTCACATAAAATAGTTTTAACGTGTTACTTAAAAGAACTTACCATTCGGTGCGATGTAGAAGAAAATGGCGACGACCACGAGGAAATTCAAGTCTGATCTGGCTGGATCGAGGGGCGGAGCTTATCAGTGTAAAGTTAACGAGACAATTTAACTCTGATAATTTTTACCAACACTAGGGGGTATCTTTCACTATTTGTTGTTAAATCAACTCCTTAAGAGTAAATGTAGTGTAACACTGATTTTTTAACACTGCCAGTTTTACTGTGTGGTGTGAAAGTGTCACAATATCAGATCCCACAACATCCCTCACTGGCCACCAGAGGGCGCCATCACCCGAGTATTGACTTTCTCATTGATTACTCATACACCTGTCATCACTGATTGCTCACGCACCTGCACCCTGTTATCTACCTGCATATAAGCCCCATTCACATCACAAACAGTGTGAAGTCTTGTTTCCACTGTGAACATTCTGAGCGTTTGATTCCTGTATGTTGCCTGCCTGTGTTTTGACCCCTGCTGATCTGATTCTCCCTTTGTCTGCTGCCTGCCTCCTGAACCCCTGCTTTGTCCCTGGATTCTCTTCAGCTCGCTGCCAGCCCTGACCCTTGCCTGGATTTTGACCAAGTGTGAGCCTGTTCTTCGTTGTCTATCTTGCCAGTGTTTGACCATTTCCCTGTTGACTACTCTTCTTTAATAAACGTTGCAAATGGACCTGACTGCCTCCGGTGATTCCTCACAGAAGACTTCGCCACGACAAGGTTCAGCAACGATGTCTCAACTCACTGCAGCGTTTGCTGCCCAAGCGGATCAACTCGCCACTCATCACCATCAACTCAACCGTCTCACAACGGTAACTGAGGAATTAGTGAAAGATATTCAAACTATGCAAAATCCCGCTCCCAATCCATCGCCACAACCGATACCACAACCTAATGAAGACCAATCCTCAGCGAGCGCGAACCCTCGCCTCGCACTTCCTGAGAAATTTGATGGAGACCCAGGAAGAAGCAGGGGCTTTATTCTGCAATGCACACTCATTATGGCCCAACAACCCAAGTTCTACCCCACTGAAACCAGTAAGATTGCCTTTGTCTGTTCTCTATTAACAGGAAGAGCCCTAGACTGGATTACAGCAGTATGGCGAGTGGATGGCACGGCTTTTCCCACCTTTGAAGCATTCCTCCAGCAGTTTCGAGAGGTTTTCGAACACTCCAAAGAGGGCAAAGGAGCAGGTGACAGACTTCTTGAACTCACTCAGGGTCGTTCCACTGCTGCTGATTATGCTCTTGCTTTTAGAACCCTCGCTGCTCAGACGGATTGGACCAACGACTCATTAAAGGTAATGTTCCAAAGAGGGTTGAGCCATGAATTACCAGCAGAATTGGCCTGCCGTGATGAGGGGAAAGAACTGGGCCAGTTTATTCAGTTGGCTATCCAGATCGATAACCTCATGCGATCTCGCCGTATGAATCATCGTCCTGTATTTACCTCACGCCCTGTGGTTCCAACCAGACTCCCTACCCATTCATCTTCTGACCAAGTTGAATCCATGCAGATTAACACTTCTCGATTAACTCTGGAAGAAAAAGAACGGCAGAGGAGTCAAAATCTGTGTCTATACTGTGGTGAGGCGGGTCATTTCTGCATCAACTGTCCCATATGTCCTCCACTGAGAAATCCACGACCGGTGAGTTTCCCTGCTGATATTCCTAACCCTGACTCCTGCATATCTGTGTCTCTTGTACTCACGATAAATGACCATCAAATTATCACCCATGCCTTGATTGACTCCGGTGCCGCTGGGAACTTTATGTCACAAGACTTTGTTCAACGAAACAACATTGCATTAACCCGTTGTTACTCTTGTCTCACAGTCGAGGCCATCGATGGACAACCATTAGGCTCCGGTCGAGTAACCCACATCACCCAGCACATTCAAATGCGGACAGGAGCTCTTCACATGGAAACCATTCAGTTTTATGTTCTACTCACCTCTTATACACCGGTCATTCTGGGTTTGCCCTGGCTCCGCAAGCATGATCCATATATTCAATGGGGAACTGGTCAAATCATCCACTGGAGTAAGTCCTGTTACTCCACCTGTCTTGCCTCTGTGACTCCTCTACCCGTTCGAAACATCCATGTTCCCCAGGAGAAACCTGATTCCATTCACCTTCCAGTCGAATACCAAGACCTGGCCGTAGCCTTCAGCAAGGTGAAGGCCTCCAAACTTCCTCCACATCGCAACAGCGACTGTGCCATTGATCTGATTCCAGGCTCCACACCTCCCAAAGGCCGTATCTTCCCTCTATCCCAACCTGAGACTGAAGCTATGAGGAGGTATATAGAAGAGGAACTCTCAAAGGGCTTCATCCGTCCTTCAACATCTCCAGCATCAGCGGGCTTCTTCTTTGTTAAGAAAAAGGACGGCAGTCTCCGACCCTGCATTGACTATCGGGCTCTCAATGATCAGACCATCAAATTCCACTACCCACTCCCCCTGGTACCAGCAGCCCTGGAACTACTTCGCACAGCCAAATTCTACACCAAGCTCGACCTCCGCTGTGCCTATAACCTCATCAGAATTCGCGAGGGAGACGAGTGGAAAACAGCCTTCTCCACATGCACAGGGCACTACGAATATCAGGTCATGCCATTCGGACTGTCCAACAGTCCAGCCGTGTTTCAATCATTCATCAACGACATCTTCCGGGATATGCTCCATCGAACAGTCATCATTTACATTGACGATATCTTGATCTATTCCAACACCCTGAAGGACCATATTCAACATGTCCGAGCGGTCCTTGAACGCCTCATTCAGCACCAACTTTATGCCAAGATCGAGAAGTGTGAGTTCCATCAGACCTCTACTACGTTCTTAGGATACATCATCAGCCCTAAGGGCGTAGCCATGGATGAGAGTAAAGTTCGAGCTGTTCTCAGATGACCACGACCCGTTACTTTAAAGGAGCTACAACGCTTCCTCGGGTTTGCCAACTTCTACCGCCGCTTCATCCGTAATTTCAGCATTGTGGCAAACCCTCTGACATCTCTGATCAAGAAAAACACATCACGTCTTCCCTGGAATGAGTCAGCCACCCGTGCCTTTAATCAGTTGAAACAACTCTTCTCGACTGCTCCAATCTTACACCATCCCAACCCTGATCTACCCTTCGTGGTGGAGGTGGATGCCTCAAATACTGGTCTGGGTGCTGTATTGTCCCAACGACAGGGGTCTCCACCTAAACTTTATCCCTGTGCTTTCTATTCTAGAAAACTGAACGCAGCTGAAAGAAACTATGACGTAGGAGACCGTGAACTTCTGGCAATGAAGGCTGCCTTCAAGGAATGGAGACACTGGCTAGAGGGAGCCACTACTCCCTTCACTGTACTCACTGATCACAAGAACCTGGAATATCTTCGCACGGCCAAGAGGTTAAACCCCCGTCAAGCCCGCTGGTCCCTCTTCTTCACCCGCTTCCAATTCACGGTCACCTACCGTCCAGGGTCTAAGAACACTAAGGCTGATGCCCTATCCCGATTGTATGAACCAGAACCAACCATCCAAGCTCCTGAAACCATCCTTAGTCCCGACCTTGTAGTCGGTCCCATTCAGTGGGATCTTGAGACCGAGCTGGAGCAGGCCAATGCTCAAACGGAAGCTCCCCTTGCTTTTCCGCCTCACAAAGTCTTTGTCCC